ACGCCAAGAGGATCGTAAAGGAGCACGGGGGCGAAAGGAAGTTGAATCGTTCGGGGAAAGTTGAGACGCCGTGTATCGAGGAAAAGAGAGACGTTGAGTTATATTCTAGTTATTCACTGCCAGACCAGAGAACCACGGTACCCGGACTTATTAAGGCCGGTTCATATTTTCCAAGCCGTGCTTATTATTCAGAACGATCCATCGTTGCGATTTATGCGGGAATTCGGCCGCGAAAATGGCAATTTTAAAACACCGAACCACCCCTTCACCGCGCGGCTTCGAACTTTTTAAATGGTTCGGCGAAAGATTCAACGAAAAGGAAACAGTTTTCCATTCCCTTCGAGGATTCTTCCTCTTCTATTAAAGGTGAAAACCGCGTTTTCTAACATCAATGCGGAGGGAAAAGAACCGGAACGATTTTTCGAGAGAAACTTCTCGCGTCGTGGATTGGAAAAGTCGGAGATGAGAAAAGGAAAGGCGAAAGGGGGAGAAAATGTTTGGCATCGTGTTTTACAGTGATTTACAACGAATGCTTCCGGAAATATTTAACGGTTAGAGTCGTATCTTACCGCGAGGTTGCATGAAACATCCCTGTCTTTAGAGTTCTCGAGAGTGAGATAATAGCCCGTTGGTAGTAACCATAATCGTTAGACCCGCAGACCTTTAAGTAAACCAACATCGCAGACATTCCAAAGTCAAAAGACGTTGAGCACACCTCCGCGTACTTTACCCACCCCCTAAATGATTCACGCTGTACTTACGTCGTACAATATTCCCGAGCGTTAAAAATAGAGAGGGTGGAAAAATAGTCGACTTTTTTTTAGGTCACGCTCAATTTTGCAGCACCGTTTTAGAAACTTAATCTCGCGTGTGTATTTGAAATTTCGAAATTTATTCCGCGGAGGTGGGATATATTATTCAACGAACGTGAAACAGCTTCTCACGGGTGCTTCCTTAAAAAAGATTTCACAGGAACAAGCGGGGTAAACGAATTAGAGTGTACAGGGAGAAGTTTGCCAACCTATCTCATCCCCCTCCTATTATCGTGGAGAATTTCCAAAGAAATAATTCCAACATTAATTTTCTCTGATACCCTCCAACATTTCCTAACAATTTCACTTCTGTCTCGTGCACACACCGTCTCACACATATTCCAGGCTTATCGTTGATGCTTCCGCCGCTGTTGTTACCGCTCTTTCCACTGGCGTTGGCCGCATCATCGTTTATATCCCGTTTACCTCAGCCTCGTTTTTCCTCATCTTTTTTATTGCACCGGCTCGGCCGCGACCTTACTCGCTCGTTAAATTTCGCGCCGTCTTCCGGGAGCTTAACGCTCCGCGTAGTAAAGATAGGAGAGCCTGAGAGAAGTGCTCTTCTCGTGGCCGAGAGAAAAGTCGCTTTTTAGAAACACAGGTATCGGGCGTGCGCGCGATTCTTTCGTCCCACTCTCGAGGATCCTCTAATAAGTGATGATCTTTTAATAAATGCCTCCACCTCTCTCGTTTTCCGTCACCAGCCGCGACGTGAAAATTTTCGCCGTGCCGGCCACTCGTCGCCAAGAGTCTTCTTCTGATGAATCGTTTCAAAGCTACTCTCTCTTTCCTTCTCTCTCGTAATTTCTCGCCTCTGGTAATTCGAATCACGGACCAACCTGTTCCCGAACGTGCGCGTTCACCTATTTCGAACGTGGATGGATTTTTCGACACGTGATGTTGCTGTCCATTCCAGAAACTTAGGATTTCCTAACCCTTTCGTATTCGCAGACGAGATACCTCGCCAAGTATTTTCACCTCGATTCTTTCGACGAGATTTTCCGTGTCTCAAAGGACACGTGAGACGTCTCGTCCGGAGTGTGAAATAAAGCGCGAGAAATTTCGTCGAAAGCTTCGTCGAGTCGTGAGATATCTCGTCGAAAGAGTGAAATATAGAAGAATTGGTTGGTGAGATATTCGATAGAAGAGAGTTAATCGAGGTTTATGGATTAGATTAATTCCACAGC